AGGATCAACCATGACAAAAGGGTACAATATGGTGTTATTAAAAATGTGACAAGAGGGACAAGACAAAGCAAAAATGTTGTGCGATCGGGTTGTGCATGCATGTTGCTGGGAAATAAAAGTAACGAGAGTCGTACAAAACGTAAGTAACTTGATGGTCGGTCTTTTTCTTGTTTATTTCTGTCTGGTGTAAAGTCAGCTTTTATACCTGGAGCTCCTGGAAAGCTGCTAGAAGACTTGACACCGCAAAAAAAAGTTGTTTCGATTTCTTCCTGAGGCACATCGTACTCTGGCGAGCGAGGAGTGAAGTAAGACCATCAGAGTAACCTTATCATAACCCTTTTATACGCAATTAGGTTTAACTGCCTCTACAGAGGTGCAGGGAAAGACCGATTATTTGCCGAAAAACTTTTGTATTCGCGCTTATCAGTTGAACTCTTATTGAGTTGTACTCAGAAATTCTTATATGCGGACGCCCATGGAAACACCAGTATTTCTATGAGGAAGTAAATCGGTTTGTCAATTGAATTTTTAAGGTTTAGTCTTTATTTTTAATATCTTCCACTAAGGAACATGAACATCTAGCGTTTACTTGAGCAAAAGCAACCAACAGCAAACTATTCAGTTGCATAGGTTTTGGCTGGTTATGGAGGCCAGTCTGCAGAGTATGGCAAGTGCACGCGCGAGATTTTTTTTTAACAATATATAAGTAATAACAGTGTAATAAGGGCCTAAAAACGGCCTTGCACGCGCGACATCTCGTCGACTTCTGTCATACTCTGGAGGAAGCAAAATGATAGCAAGAAATCGAGGAATCGCTTAACATAGTGATAAAATAAGAATTCGCTAGTTTAGTATAATTCTGCATTACAAAGATATGTGTCACGACAGCGTAGTAGACTGTTGTTTATGAGCATATCAGTATAAGAATCACGGTATTCACTAAAATGAGCTGTACAAAGTGTTAACGTGCGTGGCTTAAACACAAAAAGAACAAGATGTAACGAGCAAGCCATATATCGAGTAGAAACACTTAGTTCATATTGTGATTGCGCTTTCCTGACTTTTAATTTCTGCTCAAGATCAGATAAAACAAAGTTAACAAAATGGGGAAAAAAGCTAGTAATCCATAAACGGCAGGGCATAAAACGCGTTTGTAAATTAAAATGAGACTATTTTTAAAGAATCGGGAAAAAAAATAAGCCGACTATAACATCTGTAAATCTGCCTTGAAAATTGACCTTGCTATTACTAAGTAGTGAGGGTTAGTTCTCCTCACCATGATATTTTAAAGTTAATAGCTTTTTCATATGTGTTTACAAACTTGTTAGTTACCAACAAGACATTTTTACTTAGTTAATAATACAAAATAGCAAAACCAAGTTCAATCACGACAATGGAGCAGAGTGAAGACAACTTCAAGAGATACTACTGAAGTTAAGTAAAATACATCTCCGCTGCTAAGAATGATGTCCGGCTCAAGATAACTGATTTTAGCTGTACTGAATGAGATCAAAATTAAAGTAAGAAGTTTAAGTCTGTATAAAATTGAAATTAACTCTACTTTACCCGTGCTTTGTTTACATGAATTTCAAGCATAGCTGTGGTTATTCCTTATGGGTGGACCTGTTAATGTGCCTGAAAACTCCAAAGATCAGTCCGTATAATCTGGATATAGACTATTTTCCCTGTGCTACATATTGTGCTTAACCTAATCACGCCAGTAGCACGTTTAATCCAATGCAACTTCAAAATGGACAGATACAAGTTCCACTCAATAGGTTTCGTAGGTTTTGTGACGAAGCAGATGCACACAAGTCGGTTTCTCACCGAGTTTGCCAGTTATAGTAAAATGCCCTGTAATTCCTTCCCATGTTGGGTAATTTCTTGGCCTGATAAAGTACATCATTTTTTTCCTTCGCATCAGAAATCCAAGGATAACCAATAGACATGTACAGCTTTCAACAAATCAATGGCGGAAGTAAACTGTGTTGCTCTGAAAGACATCAGGACATTTTGTCATGCAACCCGCTTTCGTTTCTCACACAAAATATTAAGAGTGTCGTCTGTCGATTCTCTTTTGTTTCTTAGTAAACTCCATTTAACTTTACAACTACGGTTTAACTTCAAAGAATCCCGTTTGCATGTAGTTTAGCTTTGTTGTTCTTGAAATCGTGTGTCTTCTTGGAATGTATGAATTTTAATTAATGTACTTCTGTTACCAATCAGAGAACGCTTTTATCTCCTACGTCATTGTTTTTGACAAGCAGGTCACGCTATACTTCTCGCTTCAGTTTGTTTCGTCGGGCGTTCTGTCTGATTAGTGTTCTCTGAGTGCATTGTCAACTAACTCAAGAATCTGTCTTCATTTCCTACGAATAAATTGTTTATTATTCACGTATTCACTTTATACGGAGCACTTTTGCAACTAATCGAAACAACAAATATTTCATGATGAATGGCCGGATGAACGCAACGAAAGCACGAAACGCGAGAGGCCCTCACGCATTTGCGTGTTACGACCGACAAAACATTATTCTGTTGACGGAAAGGTAGACTACGAGTAATCCCCATTTTTCCTCGGGGATAGTAGAGCGAGCTAAACGCGCGCGCGCTTGAAAATCACCCTACGTGAAAACTATCCCTTGGGATAACATTTCAATTTGTTTTTGTAGTCTTGGACACCTTTCAGGCAATCAAAAGAAAGCATTTCTGGGGGCTTTATGGGGGGTGTATACGTATGTATAAGCCAATCAGAAGCGATACAACGAAGTATCCAATTGTGTCATATTACACATTTAACTTGAAGAGATTCTGCTCTTAAGCGGCGCATGGCAACAACGTTTTCTTGCCATTTTTAATTGCTGAGTCTTGCGGTGTTTTGTGACGAAACCTTTGTCAACCTGATGCGCTTAAGTTGTTTTGTCTCAACTTACATTCTTCTTTTTTCTGTGTTTTTCTCGTGCGGAAAGCCAAATGATTTTCTTGCCATTTTACCCCCGTCTGAGCGATCGTCCTTCATAACCGAGTACGGCTCGGTCGCCTGGAGTCCATGTACACAAAAGGACATTATCTGCGTTGAATCCATTCAGCGTCGTGCGGCGCGCTTTGTTTGTACCGATTACTGTCGTTCAGTAGCTTAAATACAGTGTTATCGAACTTTGGTCGGCAAGATCTTGAGACACGTAGGAAGATCACCGATTTGACAACGTTTTTTAAGTTAAAGACAGGAAATGTACTGATATCTTTCCCAAACGACATAAGCGAGGAGCACTGTCCCTACTTGACCCGAGGTAGTGCAAAGCACCCATTCCAGTTCCAGCGTTATTACTCAGGCCATTAACGCGCAAAAGTGTTCCTTTTTTTGTAAGAACTGTTCCCGCTTGGAACGCTTTATCTCCTGTTTCCGTATGTGCTGATTCTGTCGCTGTGTTCCATTCAAGTGTTGACGATTTTTATCTTTTTTATTGCTTTTTCCTTTGCTTTTTCACGAATATTCCCTCAGATTTAAAAAGACTATCTTATAACCACTTATACAAGCAACACACTGACCACTTTTGCAAGCAATATAAGCTGTACCCTCCATATACCCAATTTATGAATATGTATTGGTCTTCTACTACCACGTCAGGCCGCGACCTACAGTCAAACCTCTCCAAAACGGCCACCTTGGGGACAGAAGAAAGTGACCATTGTAGAGAGGTGGCCGTTATGGGGAGGTAGGGGAGTAATTTTACAATTTTTTTTAGGGAGTACAACATGTTTATTGTGCTGAGTGCATGGTCACTGTCTCCCAAAATGGTAAAAATCCAATCGTAAATAATAAATAGAGATAAAATACGCAAAAAACTTCAATTATGTTTTGAATCAAAATGTTCACGTGACAATGCAATAAATGCGTAATTTGTATTAATATCTTGACGGCAGTATCAAAATATCATAGTGCACCAACTATTATTTAAAAGTCAATGCTCATTTGCTTTCTTTTGATTTCTCAGGGGATTCCTGGAAAGCAATGGAGCTCAGCAACACCCAGAGGAAAGGCTACAGCCAACAGAACAAGAGGTAGGTAGCTAAGTTTGCCAGAGGTAGTTGATATGGATATTTGCTGCTCTTATGTAGATTAATATGCAGTTATTATCATACACATAATCGTTCATTATCTTTAATTATATTTACAATTATAGTTATTTTAGACAGCTTATAACCATCGGTAACTAATTGTGAAATATTTATGTAATGTTAAACTTGTAGGAAGTTGTGGGTCAAGAAAGTAGAGGAATTGTCCTGAGAGAGCGGATGGAAGGGCAGGCTAATGGGGGTGAATACAATGTGGATCCTGTCCTTTACGTACCACCATATACGCCTAATCAGCTAATGGAGTTGGAGATTCCCTTGCAACCCCTGCTGCAGTCAGTGCATTCTAGCCCTGTACGTGAGCAATCCAATGAAGGATCCCTTCCAGAGACAATTTCCTCAGCAAACCAATTGAATCAGTTTAGACAAGAACAGGCAGGAGCATCTGTGTTAGCCAATGGAGCTGGGTATCCTCCTCAGGCAGCAAACAACGTTGGAAGACTTCCAGTTGAGCATCCCGACATGCCTGAATTTCCGTTACATCGGCATCAGATTTTAAACAGGCAAGTGTCATAATCTGCCGTGTTCCACTATAACATCTTATGCAAGTATACTCAGTTAGAAGTCGGGGAATTGAACAGGTAGGAATTTCTTTGGTTCTATCTGCTGCACCCATTAACAGCTAGTCCCATGATAATTCTTCCTTTCTTTTTCCTTTTCTGTTTTTAAATTTGTTTGAACTTAATTAAGAATTTAATTAAGAAATAAAGAATTTGGACAAAACTTGAAGTCTCAGAAGTACTTTCTACTGCAATATAGACTGCGAGAACTTTAGGAATTGATGGTGCTTTTAAGTAACGGTACTCTTATTCCACCATTACGATTACAAGTCAGCAACTTTGTTGAAAGTGTTCACTGAGATAAAGATATATAAGGTCAGAACAGGGGCACCTCGGTACAGACGACTTGAAAAAAAGTTGATTGCCTCATAGTTTGATTAAATGAAGGATATTAAATGAAATGAAATTTTCTTGTATGCAGATAGCAATGTATAAAAATCAATTTTCACTATGCCCAGTGAGTATTTTGGTGATCCTAAATTCACGGAGTCCACTGGCATTTAAGTTTTTTAAGGTCACGAAGGTGGTCCATAGGTCTCTTGGTGCAAACGTATAAGTGTTTTAGGTAAAAAGTGCCACGTAGCCTTAAGCTGAAGTGCATTACCCGTTAGGTCAGGTACAAATTTTGTTTTGTTTATTACTTAAATGAAAAGTGAATTTTGAGTCTTCCAACCCGTTTTTGTTTCGTCCATGTTAATTCCAATGCGGCCCAGACAATATGTATCAGAAAACCCCTTAACAAGTCAAGGTCAAGCAGTGTTTTTAATTATCACTGGACGAGAAATAAATATTATATGCTACAACTTTGACCTGAATGTCAGTCACTTTTAATTGATATCGATGATCTGCTCTCTACAATTTCAGGCCAGCTTCACCTAACCTGATAGCAGCTCTAGTGGCACAACTCTGTGATGGAAAGTACATCTTCAAAGTGAAGAACTTCTCCAAGCTCCTCCAGAACGCAAGAGATGTAATGGGATGGTCATATGAGAGTCTTCCATTCTGCACTGATCCATTTGGATACCAGTTTTCCTTAATAATTTTTCCACTGGGCGTGAACGGTGGGGACAGGGAACACATCAGTCTGTTTGTTCGCACAAAGCGGGGCGAGTTTGATAATATCCTTCCCTGGCCCTTCATGGGAAGCTTCTCTTTCACCATACTGGATCAAAGCGATGTTGCCGACGGTTTCCACAACCACATCACTGGTACTTTTGCTACCAAAGGTAATCAGAGAGCTTTTCAGAAGCCAATTGCCGGAGAAAACGGCACCCTTTACGGCTTCGCAAAGTTTGCACCCATCGAAATGGTTTGTACTCAGCGGTTCTCAAGAGAAGACTCGGTAATTTTTAAAGTGGAAATTGATAAAATCCTCTTAGCTTTCCGTACAGGGAAAATTTAATCCCAGGAAGGTTTTCAAAAATTAAAAAAAAAAAATTGCTAAAAGATACTATAAACGTTGCATTAATTTTCAGTCGCATCAGTTTTTAGTTTTTAGTTTTTACACTGACACATGTATTTCTAACCTCTTCGAGGAACAGGCTTGAATTTTACGTAACCAATATAGTCAACATATACTATATACTATAAAAAATATGGAAATTTTGAAAGTACAGTATACTTTTAAAATTTCCATGTATTTTTTTTATTTTACACTCTAGTGTGGTGTACGAGCTCATCTTGTTCCTTTGGTTTAAAACCATTAGCTCAGTATGTTTTGATGACACCCAAGAGCCATGTCACACCATTGTCCAGCTTTGAGAGTCTACTCGCGAACACTAAGCAAAACTGAATAGCCAGTGAAACGCTTTGGGTGTAACTTAAGTTCGAAATCACCTAATTATTTTTATTGCTCTTTTTGGTATAGCCAGGCAGTGTCTAGCTTGCTTTAGATACGCTGGATCGGACCATCATCGACTGTGTCTCGCGGGTGCAAGAGGAACAATTGGGTCTCTGATATTCATCAGTATTCCTAGAAATTATTTCGTTTAAAATCGATGTCATAAAAAAATGCTGACTATTAAAATTTTGATTGCCTTCACCCGTCCATCTGTGCTTAAGACTCGCAGGTGATAAAGAGGAGGATGATGGGAAGGGTAAAAAGAAAAGAAACACTTAACTGTCTGAAGATGAGAGTAACATGTATTTACCGCGGCAAAGCATAGTCTGAGGTATCGATACTAAGGTCCTCGGTGACAAAACAAAATATCGGCACAGTTCGATACTGCTCATGCATATACTAAACGACGTGTTTGCAACAACATCCCTATTGAGGGACGTATTTATGTTTGCATACTGGCTCCTTACCGTGTAAGAAAATTTTCGTTTTAGTCCTAACTTGATGGGTTGTCCAGTCTGATTTGACTTTTTAGTTGTTAATATTGTTCGCAATTGTACTTATCGCTTTGATTTAAAAATGATGTATGGTTCCATCCTCAAAGAACAATTAACTGATAATTTCGTGTTGTAGAGATTGTAGAGATATTGTACGCGAGATTTGTGTAGGGGATCTGTACAGCTGTAGAGAATTGCAACATGTTATTTTCTGTATTGGAAACTTATATTCCGCAAAGTAGTCATAGTGTATATTTGCAAAAAAGGGGTAGCAAATGAATCTTTGTTATTGTACGTTAAACGCCTGGTTTCCATTAGCATCGAACTTAGTGCTCAGTATGACGTGGAGAGGATCTCTATTTTCAAAGTAATCAATGGACGTAGCAATTATATATGGTATCGAGAGCGGAACGAGATAGGCCCGGTTCAGACGCCGAACTTTTTATGAGCCGAACCTAATTCGAATTAAGGCCGACCCAAATTATTTAGACCAGCTGAATTGATTCAGACGCCGATCTTAATTGCAGCTGAACTAAGTTCAAAAGGCGGAAAAAACTCATTTCGGTCAAACTGCTTACAAAATACGTTCTAATAACTTATGCATCAGGTTCGGTACATGAAAACTTCGGCGTCTGAATCAAAGCCGTTCCAAAGTCGCTCCAAAGGTGAAATTTCCGGCCGGGCTAGACAAAAAGAACGGCTGAGCCGTTCCAAATTGAATGGAAACAGGCGATCCTAATTGATTCAGACGCCGAACTTTTCATGTCTTAATCATATGTATTAGGTTCGGCTCATGAAAAGTTCGGCGTCTGAACCGAACCTAAGTAGTACACTCGGGAATTTACCTCGTTCGCCATCCCTACAATTATTAGAGATCTTTATAGAGGAAGATTTTTGTAAAAAAAAATGTCTGAAGAGTCAAATGGCAAAGAAACAAATATAGGGAAAACTGTTAACTTAAGCAGTTAAAAAATGCTCAGTAAAAAATTATAGCAATCAGTGTCAGTAATATTGTTGTAGTGGCTTTTAATAAAGCAAAGGTAAAACGTTACATTGATATGACTGTCGTTATTAGAACTGTACGTATTTGCAACCGGTGACAGTTTCCTTAGAATCGCTATGACAAATAGACTTACAGGGACCGATGGGGGCTTTCCACTCTTGGCCGAGGGTGGTGTTGCCTGTAGACAGGTTCTCTGGTGGTAGATAGGGCGAAGAAAAGTCGAGCAGGGAGAGGCCACGCCTCTTCGCACTACCTACCCTCCAAAGGGAGCCTGTTCGCAAGCTAGGGGTGAGGGTCTGCTGTTGCTGGGACTTAGATACCCCTGCCCTATCCTGTACCTGCCTATCATTTTTATTAAGACTGGCGAATGAAAGTTTCTAATGAAGTCAGCGAGACTCATAACCACTAACCCGCTAACCGTAAAGAAGTGCGACCGAGTATTCCAATTCACATAACGATAACCATAGAAATCCCAAAATAAAGGCTGCCTGCCGAAGTACAGTCCCAGTCCCCCTGAAAGTCGGGGTCTCTCGAAAATGCCCACTCGACAACAAAAGAATAGGGCATTTTTTGTCTTTAAAATGTCATGCTACAAATAGTCTCGACCAAAATACCAAATTTTAAAATGAAAACATTAAACTGATCCTTACGGCAGGAAGAGTGATAGAAAAAATAAAGAAAGAGAACAAAAATAACGTGGTGAATTACACTTCATTTTTGTTCTTTTTCTTTATTTTTATTTTTTCTTTATTTGGTACTCAAGATTTTTACTGATTCATGTCTTCTAAAGATCCGGCGAACCCTCACTGGTTTGTCGTTATGGTTTTGCCTTCACAAGTGTTTTCGACCAAAATAGAATCAATTGTTTTTTTATTTTAAATTTATAAGTGGCCTAAACACACTGTACTTGTGCAAAACACCCTGCCTGTGATGTATAATTCCGAGGTTCAACAAAAAAATCGCGGCCGTGACGAAAAGGTCGTTGTTCATGTCTATATTTTTAATTTCTGATTTTGGTAAAACTTTCCGTACAGCCTCATCTTTATTATGCATACGTAAACAACTCTTTTTTCAAATTGCAGCATACATAATACATATATGGGGTTGTCAAGACAAAGGTCGAATATCTTTCAAAAGGTGCATGATCGTACTATAAATTAAACTTCAAAACCACCGCTCAGAAATGTAAAAAGTCTACTTCCGGTTAACGTGCGTCGAAAAAAAAGTTCCTGTTACCTCATGAACCGCCAATCAGACCTTGATAACCTGAAACTCAGCCAATCTGATTGATCGGTGCGGTTGGCTGATTGATCGGTGCGGTTTATTTTGCTCACCGTACTGCACACCTTCACTATTCCTGAGATCTTCAATGATACCGAGAAGTCACTTGAAAAATTGGTGTTTTAGCAGAGAAAAAGGGAGACGGGGAATCAGAAGCCATACACTTTGGCTTCATTTGTTCAATAATTAATTGTTGCGCTGCAGATAAAAGGTTTTGCAAGTATGACTACTGAGAGAAGGCTATGTCCTGGAACTACGGGGATGAGGAATCGGTAAGTGAACGCTTAAGCGGAGAAGTTTGCAGTATTAATGTTTTACCTTTGTTAAAAAAAATGCGCAAAAACAAGACTGAGATATTGAAGTCGCTGGCTCCACTAAAAACCTGAGCAGGCGATAAGATTTTAGCCCCGACGTACATGGGCTCGATAACTTGGCCGATGAGAGAGAGGCAACGAGTCAGGCGGCGCCGGTGGCCTACAACAAGCGCGCGCGCCAAGCACGCCATCCAAGATTAAAAGGTTCACATTTCATTACGATTTGTGAAATCAAATGTTCTGTGGCTGAAAATTCTGCAAATAATGGTTGTTCTGCATTTTTTGTTTAATTATTAGCAGTAAAAAACCCACTCGTATCTATGTTTCTTTTTTTGCCTATTACCGATTTGGTCGCTGGCGTGGTCGCTAAGTGACAACAGAAAGACTACCTTTCACAACTACCGTATTTCCTCGAATAAACGCCGCCCTCGAATAAACGCCGCCCTCAAATAAACGCCGCACCTGAGAGCCAAAATATAAATAAACGCAGCCCTCGAATAAACGCCGCACCCCTAGGCACGGCGTT